GCAAAGGTGAGAGATCCTAGATCAAAAAGATAACCACTGCATGATCCACTGGAAGGGGATGGGTGCATGTGCAATCAATAGCCCTTTTGTTTAAGACTCCATAGAGGTGGTTGGTTCTAGAGCTGCCCACCATATGGATGTTCCCCTACAATAGCTAAAAACAACATGGGGACATAGGAAGCAGCCTTCTCTTGAGTCAAATCATTGGTCTTTCTGGTTCAGTATCGGCAGCATCTCTCCAGGCAAGGGAAATTGTCAGTCCTACCTGGAGAGGTTAGGGGTTGAACCCTGGACTTTCTGCTTGCAATGTTCTTATCACAGAGCAAGCAAAGAATGCAAAGGAGAATTATCATGCACAGTCATGCAGTGATCGCATAAACATGGCAGACTCTGTGAGACATGGTCAGCTAAACTATGAATTCTGTTTGCGTTCTTCTGGAAAGTAACAGCACCACTTTCCACTGAAGATCATTCAAACATTTTGTGTCACTTACTACTGGAGGTTATCTTTTGAACCTGGGGGCTGGCTGAAAGTGGTCTTTTCCATAGATGGTTCCCCCGCCCCTGATCCCCCTTTCTAAGTTGTAATAAAGAAAATGAAAGCCAAAAAGTAAGTAAAGCAGCTTTTCTAGAAAGAGATGCATCCAGCCAGATCTGTATTGGAACCCAAGTTGGTAGAACTGTGTGGTACTGATTAAATGTAGGGAAGAGCAAGAGACATCACCAGACTTGGGTGCTTCTTCCATTACCTGTGGTGTGGCTGGTATTCCCCCATGGCTTCCAGAAGAGCTGGTATGGAAATCTAGTGTTTCATTTCTAAAATGGTGCATGGAAGTGTCACCTTTTGAGCAGGAAGCCTATCCCTAACTTCAGATTTTGGAGAGGAGTTGCTCGTGGTTCCTTGGTAGTAAAGGACTTAGTCAAGGTAAGTTCTCACTCCAATTAATCCATGGAGCAACAACAGTTGCAGTGGAAAACATAGCAGTATTTCCAAGCTTCCCAGTGGGACCACCTTTACAAAAGCAGAACATACTTATTATCTGTGATGATGAGTAACAATACCCAATTATTTCTGCTTGGGAAGGCTGGTGTCCAGTGTACTTCCTTCCTTGGTTCAAATATATGCAGAATAATTGGCTTTCTCAACATGAAGGGTGTTTTGAAGGTGAAAGAAAAATGCAGTCGCTTCAGAACTTCACAAAGGCTGTAGTTACAGCAGAAGCAAAATTCAGTACACATAAAAACAGCTTATGTTGATGTGCTTGCTTGATTCTCCACTTCTGATCTAGTATTGTTGTTTTACATTACTTTTCAAAACCTTAGAGGAAACAGTTGTAAGAAATATTTGCTTATTTTCAGTGGAAGATATTGTATTCCCTGCAGCTCACAGAATCACACTGCTAAGTATGTAAGAGTCCTTCGGGTCATACCAAAGGCCCATCTATCTTGATTTTCACTGTGACCAGTCAGATGCTTAAGAGACGTTTACAAGCAGAATATGAGCACAATAATTAACTCTCACTTGTTTCCCACAGCTCTGGTATTTAGAGGTAGACTGCCTCTGATCCTGGAGTTAATCAGGATCAGCCATCCCGATTAGCAGCATTCGATAGCCTTATATCATCCATGAATTTGCCTAATCCCCTTTCAAAGCTAAGTTGATGGCAATTAGCCCAACTTGTTCATCCTGTTTCAACAGAAGAGACTGGCATAAGGTGAGTAGAAGTTTACAAGAGTTTATTTGACAGATGTCTGGATTTAGTCCTATCAAATGGATCCTGCACAGTTACATGCTGCTCCTGGTTCAGTTGTCAGCCCATCTAACAAATAAAAGAAAACGGAGGGAGGGGGAATAAGAAAATCCACAACTTTTTTCCCACATGTCATTAAATATATTCATATATATAACCATAATATATTAGTATGCATTGTAAAGAAACATTGCCCCAAAACTATATGTAATAGTCATAACTAAACAACATTTACAATTCATGATATTAACAGGAATAATCAAAACACAGCTGATTTTTTTTCCTGTGTAATAGGGAAAAGGTAAGATGATCAAGGGAATGAGCATACAATGAACCAGCTAAAACAAAACATAAAATGGGGAGGAAGCCATTGTTCAATGCTACTCATGAGTGGTGATTGTTTTGGCATTTCAGCTGCTTCTCAGAATGGTTTGTGTTGCCCTTTTACCCTGTCAATGTAGAGCTTGGAATGTTTCTCAAGAAGACCTTGAATGTAGTCTTGACAATCCGCTGCTGTGTGGCACTCCTAGAGCAGGTGCAAGGCATCAACTTCCTTTTTTTTTGAGATTCATTTAAATACTAAATTTGGTGGTAGTTTTACTTATTTTCTCAACTGCAAAAAAAGAATTAGTTCTTTAGATTTTAAGTGTGCATTGTCCTTACTTTCTGAGTGAAAGTTTAGGAAATTACGGCTTGCCATTCTGCTTCCTAAACCACCACCTTTGCTGGGCTGCTCTTGCCGAGTTCTAGTCCCTTAAATTTTGGCTGTGAAACCAACAGGAAAGGATTATTGACATTCTCTGTTATGAAAGGTTGCCTAACTCAGTGTTTCCCAACCTTGGGCCTCCAGCTGTTTTTGGACTACAACTCCCATCATCCCTAGCTAGCAAGACCAGTGGTCAGGGATGATGGGAATTGTAGTTCAAAAACAGCTGGAGGCCCAAGGTTGGGAAACACTGGCCTAACTGAGTGTTAGCCTCCGAATAAAAAGGACAACCCTAAATGTAAGACACAATTCTGACCATATACTACCTCCTGAGCACATTTGATGGTGTAGGAAGATTTGAAGCGCCACCAAATAAGTAGCCCCAAGTATGCCGAGGCTGTGTTGCTGTATTTCTGTTTTAGAGAAAATAGAGAGAGGGGTTCTAGAATGTAAGCCAACCCCCCCAAATATAACTCCTTTTATTTCATAGTTTACTGATGGAAGCTGAAAGTCTCTCTGACTCTCCTATATGCCCATTGCAGTACACCTAGATAGATATATTCTTTAAATGTGGGATGTGCAAAACAAACTCTTAAGCCTGCCAATATAGATGACAAGGAAAAGGCTCTTATTACTAATTTGGGATGAGGATAAAGTAATCTAAAATATTACATTTCTGGTTAATATACAATTTCTGAGTTCTAGCCTATTTTACATTTTGTACTATACAGTCAGCTTTCTTGGTTTTCTCTATAAGCCCCCTCCCCTTGGCTGCCTTTTGCTATCTTGGTGTCTCCATCCGCCTTTACAGCTTTCTCGGATATCGGTGTCCACTATGGAAGCGCAGGCCATTTTCCAGCTGTCCTATAGGGGATTGGGCACACGGTGAGGGTATCTGCTTGTAAACATTGTTTTGAGGAATCATTTAGTGGTTATCAGTACTAATTCCCAAAACCAAACATAGAACTGGCTCCTGAATGCTCACAGGAATATATATGTGCTGCTGTGTAGTTAAGATGCAGAACAGAACTGTCAAGGGGAAACAACATCACACCAAGATCTGTATTGTAGCCAGAGAATTCCATATGGAAAGTGAGGAAGGAGAGGTTTGTGTCAAGGAGAAGGGTGCACTCGTCAGGCTGAGATGGATTTTTAGGAGCTTTGATTTTTCTTTCTGAATTTTCAGTCTAGGATAAATCTTTTGTCAGACTACTAAGCACGTTATATGAAAATCAAATTGTTTTCTGTTCAATGCTGGAACACTAATGAGAACTCAGACAAAAGCCCCCCTCCTCCTCCCTGTTACCTTTAGGACACACAGAAAATATGCAGTCACTGAGCTACCCCACAGGGCACAGCTCAGAGAAGAGTTTGAACCTGACTAAGTTACAGCCTAGGCAGAGTATCTTTATACCCTGTTTTACCCAGGCTGTGTGACTTGTAAAACCCCTGCGTTCCATTGATTTTAAAATAAAAACCAGGCTCTCTGTTTTCTTTAGTGTCTAGGTTCCATATGAAAAATAGATGAAATTTTGAGAGGGACGTTTGAAAGCATGAATTAAAAAAAATTCAACAGTAGCAAAAGTGAAGCTAAACAGAGGGTTTCAGTTCAGCTTTAAACCCAATTACTACTTTAAAAATGAGTGTTCCATACAGGAGTACCTACCTCACCACTGATGTTTATCACTGGTGGGCCTGCATTCAGAGTCTATATCAGTGCTAAGATTTTACAGACTGCTCTTTCAATACAGTACACTTCAACATGTTGCTAATACAGAAAGCTGATGGCATTTGAAGAGTTTTGAGCAGTGGTTTTCAAACTGTGGTCCTAGGAATCCTAGAGTTCCTTAGAAGGTTATTCAGGGTTTCTCCTGATGAGAAGCAGATCCTCTTTGCTCGCATTGCACAGACTGAGTAGAATGCTGGGTGGGCTCTGGGGAGCGTCTCTTAGGTAGGCCCAACGATCATGGCGGACATTGCCCAACAACAGAGTGCACAGTTCCTCAGCGGACAAATCAGTGTAGAACAGGTATCCTGAAGATAGGAAGTTTGAAAACCAATGACCTAATAAGATGCAGCTTTTCTGGAGTTACTTACTTTGGTTCTGTCATGCAGCAGAATTAGGCGGTAGAATCTGGAGGTGATAAAATGGATTGTACTACTCGTGGGTGAGAAAATAACCATTTTGAATGCTGCCCGGCATGCAAAATTCCCTGCAAGTTAAAAAAAAAAAAAGGAAACAGACTAGCATGTCAGGACGGTTCTAGCTCTTCCTGCTGTGCTACTTTTCTACATTCAGGGAGTATTTTATGGAGGGTGTCACTCTAAAATATAGAACCCCGCTATCTATATTATGCTACTTAATTTCACAGTATGAGTAGATCAGGGCAGTGTGTGGCTGAAACAGGACATGGCGACAAGCACTTTTTGTTTCAGTTGTTGGCTTGGCTCTTTTTTGTCTTCTATTTTAGTAGGTAAACTAATTCCCTCTGAATCTAAAGTGAGAGTCAGTATAAACAACACTGATAAATCTACCTCAGCTGTGAGAATGTTCTGCATATTTCTTTTTCAGCAACTAGGTTCATATAAAGAAGTGGGAGCCCAGAAACTCTCAACAGTGTGCAGAGCAGTTGAGTCAGAGCACTTCGTTCCCGCCCCCTGCCTTCAGCCAGGGATCCTAACTCCTGTCCCCCCTATTCTCCGCTTCCCCGGCATCTGGCCACTTTACACCTATTTGTGCTACAGTTTGTTTTATGGTAGTTTATGTCATTATATAAATATTGTCAATTGCTATAAAACAAGGCAAAACCACTGGAAAATGTCATTAAAAGGATGTTTCCATATTTCCTAATAGGAAACATCTTGGGGAAGTTTGTATTTTGCAGAGCAGGCGTCCCTGAGCTCACGCGTGAACCGCCTGCCTAGACAGTCCTAGTTTGCAAGTTAGGGCTGATGGGAGATTTGCATGAGTGGAACAAAAATCTGCTTCAAATGGAAGTTAGGGGAAGGAAAGCGTAGAGAGCTGCTGTGGGAGTGTTTGAGAGGGCATCCCCTTTATTCTAGGTGTGTTATTGGCTGCAAAACATACATTTTGGGTTCTTACAAACATGAGTTTCCTTATCCGAAGTGACACTCCTTGCTCCATGTAAGCATTAGCAACACTTTTGTTCTTTTGTGTCTTTTCCCACTTGGTCTTCCCTGGAGCAGGTATGGTACCCATCTTGGTTAATTCATTCCCTACAGACAGAGCCAGCACATAGGACTGTCTGCAGCTCAGCAACCCTCCTGGTAAAAGAGGAAGCACTGAATGGATCTTATATTAATAACCATTGCTGTGGAGAGGCACAAAAGTGGTAGCTGTGTGTGTGTGTGTGTGTGTGTGTGTGTGTGTGTAGAGTCAGTTTGAATCTATCAATGGTAACTTTTGCTTTCTGCTTTTGAAATGAGTATTGATAGTCTAGTGGGTGTCTAAAGAAGTTATTACTACTTAAAATTATAGACAGAGTTTATTTCATTTCCTAGTGAATGCATTTAAAAATAATAATAATAATCCAGTGGTCTCAGGGTAGGGCTATATTCACAAAAGCAGCAGTGCAAGGACAACTCCTAAAAATCCGAGTCATTTATATTTGACTAATTCTTTAGATTACCCATTAGATCGGTGGTGGTCATGTTTTCAGATATTGCTATTAAGTAATTATTATTTCAATTGCTCCATCAATGCTTCATAGCTGTCAGCTTTCTTTCCTTAGCAGAGTGCCTTTTAAAGTCAGGCAATAAGACCTTAGTCTGGGGCTGCATTTTCAAGAAAGCATACCCCTCTACTGACTGCCTTGTCTGCAGGGTAAGTAGCTTATATCTCTGTGAACTTTGATTAGATTCTTATAAAAAGGTGACCCAGTCCATTAAATGCTGCATGACAGATAATGGATGAGCTACTCAGGCTGCTTGTTTGCTGTTCATTTGATTGTAGCCCCAGAAATTGGTTTCAAGCCATGATCCATATGCTCCATCTTTCCAACCAATAAGAACATTATTTAATCTCCTTTGGAGGAGATGTATTCAAAGGGCAATTTCTGTGCAACTTCAACATCTCTCTTTATATTTGCTTCAGTGACAGGTTGAGTCCTTTCTGTACCTAGACTTTAAGACTAGTTGATGTTAGAGAACTTAAGGCAGTTGGTCATTCTTCTGATTAGACAGAAATAAAGAGAGAAGGAAAGTCAAAGGGGATGATGGGAACTAGTAACTGGCCTAACATTTGTTACTATGGTGAGTAGGGTCTCGCGTGGCTGTCCTTCTCTAAACTTGTCACTTTTCACTACATTTTGTGTTTTTTCTGTATTGTGAGGTACATAATTGGCATGTCTCACAGAAGTTATTAACCCCTCCTTTGCCCCCCACCCCATCACACATAATGCAAAGTGAGCTTCTTGCCAGTGACCCTAATCCCATTCGCGTCTGCTTCAAGTCCTACGCAAAGCAGTATGTTCAGTCTCTCTTCCCATCTCCAGTTCTCTCCCCCTAGGCTTTCTTGCACTTCCCCTTCTTTTCCCGCTGCTGGAACTTCCTCAGTCGCCTAGCCCATGTGTCCCTCCACTGTATAACAAGGCTGCTTTTGTCTGCCACGATGCCATTCTGGTCAGGGGAATCCTCGTCGTGGCCCAGCAACAAGTATTTCTTCATGGGTTTGATTTTCGGGCACTTGCAGGCAATGTCCTTGGAGCGTATCCAAAGGAACTGGTCACCGCGCCGTATCCGGTTTGTCCCTTGCTTGTACACAGAGATGATGTTGACTGTGAACTTCCACCATTCTCCAGCCTTATCTGCTTTCAGGATGTGGATCTGGACAGCTGGGAACAGAAAGCCAAGAACAGGGACAATCAATTTAACACCCCAATTCTCCCCTCAAGGACAAAGCAAATGTGGCTTGAACAGCAGTGGTTAACCAAGAGCAATCCAGAAATATGCATGAAGGACGTCACATTGCTGTAAATGACAGACTTGTAAGTTACATGATAGAAATGTTCTTACTGTCCTTTATGGGGTAACTGATTTAATAGAGGGATGCTGGGGATGTAACTGCCCAACTGCATTATGTTACCTAGAAAAAGTGTGATATGTAGTAGATTCCCTTACAATGCCTTCTCTTTGGAAATTGACCCATTATGTATATATTTTAAATGGGATCGAGTATTCAGTATTTTCAAATGGGTAGACTGTATGTATATAATCAGCAGATGAGAGGAGTTGCCTGTACTTCAGAGTCTGTTCCCAAACTGGAAGGTCATTGGAGGGACAGTGGGGGACTATCGGCATCTGTCTGTCATTGAAGTAACTGGTCTGTTTGTCCTCAATAGATGGGTTTAGTTTTAAGAGAAGAATTGCCCTTACTTGTATTGCATTCAGATTTCATTTGATCCTGCCTATTTTTTCTGGAGTTGTGACTGAAATGTGCATTAGAAAGAAAGAGAGAAGCCATCCCATTTTTCCTGATTGTAATAAGTCACTTTCAGTTTGGTTAACTACTTTGTTCCAGTCTTTGCTTAACCCTTCATCACTCTTTCCTGTGACTACATATGTGCCTGCCCTAAGCAAATTGGCATTTGGGAAATAATGTATCCAGCTCTCTTCTGCCTGTGGAGACAAGTCTCTCCCTGTCCAACTCTCCCTTCTTTTCATGCTGGGCATCTTGACCTCTGTGGTCTCTGCTAGTGTCCCACATTCCAAGTCTAAGTATGATGGTAACCGTTTCCATGTTTCCCTTACCTAGGGATTTGAGGCTCAGTGAGAACTTTAAAAAAATAAATAAAATGTGAAGGAAGTCAGGGTCTTGTTTGGCTGAAGTCATGAAAGGTGGCCATGGTAACAAAAGGCACCCCTTTCATTTTGAGCAAAAGGTTGGGGGGAAGGGAATGAAAACCCACCAAGAACTTTGCCACACTGTTTGGTTTTTTGGCATGTACTGGGGCCAGCCTGTGAAAAGAATCTCGCTGCAATGCATCCCCACAGAGCAGAGTCCCTACCTTTTAACCCAATGCTTCTAGCTCATAAGCATGCAAGATTTGTCACACTGGGTAGGATGAATAGATTACCAGTCTACTGCCTTATCTCCAGTAGCAGCCAGTAAGGGTCTTTTAAAAAATGCCCTGCCTTCCTAGACGTACTTGTGATAGTATACAGAAATGAAAAGGCAATCGGGTGACCCGGCGAAAAGTTTACAGATGGGTGAATCAAATCACAAGCGTAGACGCTGTTAGACTAACCAAATCATCTCAAATCCACAAGATTTTCATGGTGAGGAAAACAGCCCCAACCTAAAATCTCAATGTTCGGTGTTAGTAATGCTGGGTAGAAACCATTCACAGCTTTGCTTAAAATAAATATGATATATGCTGTGCACCAATTACTTTTATTAAATTTCCTTATAGGCTACAGAACCTTTACCCTAAATGGATACAAAGGTTGAGGAAACTCAGCTGAAAGACCTGAGCAGTGCTCATGTAAGTCTCCAAAAGGACTGACCAAGAGCTGGCTCCCCACAAACTAAGCAACTTCTTCTGGTGTGCCCCCTCCAAGTCTTGCTGTGGCACTGAACAGCTTCCCGGGATGGTCCATTTTAAGACTCACTTTCAGCTGGGGTTGCATAGTTCCTCCAGGCTTATCCATGGGCTTCACCCCTCTTGGGCTGCAGAGCAACTCCCCTTGTTTTGAGAACAATTTTTCTTTCACACAGAAAAAATGGGCAATCAATCTGTAAAGTTCCTATGCTGTCAAAAGCACAATTTTGATGCAAAAATTGAAGCTGGCGACTGTTCAGCTCCATCCTAAGAAGGCTAAGTACTGCTGAAAAGGGAAGTGGCTGTTTGAGAATTCTTCCTCTGCCAGATTAGACAACTGAGAAGAGTCACACCCACAGTAAATGATGTGACAAGGGGGAAGATCTTAAATCATTTTGGAAAGCAGAGCATTGCTTGATATGTGGGAGTAGGGTGATTGTTGGCTGGAGTGCTTCAAGTTGCTGAAAATGAAGAGAGCAAGGGGTATTTCTAGGAGGTTCAATTTAAAACCCAATGAAGCTAAACTGATTTGGATTTTTGGTGTTCTTTTTTGCAAGGTTGTGTTTCTTTGTTATTTTATTTATTTCATAAAATTCATACACCCTCAAGTGGCTTACAAAAAGATAAAACAATAAAGATGTGAAAAAATCACAACCATACTTTAAATCATACAAAAGTTAAAATACTAGAAGTTCCAAACTCAAGCATTTTTGATCCTCCAGGAGGAAAACAATTCCTGCAATCTAAAATCAAGTGATGTTCCTTAACTCCACAATTATACTCTTCCCCTAGGCTGACTCTCAAAATTAACATTCCCATGTCTTAGATTGTCAGGATCAGAAGGAGGGAACCAGGACCAGGGAATTGTGTGAATAGGGCCATTAGGAATTCTTATGCCATACCAACAACCTCCACGAGCCTCACCATTAACAACATGGATAGCAGGTATAGGAAAATGAGATGCACCGGAGTCTACTTAGTGTGGGAGCTGGCGGTTTCCTAGTATTCAGTAGGGAGGGGCAGGTGGAGGAAATTATGGTTCTGGTCTGGAGGAAAAGGGATAATGGCTATTAATTAACTCTGGAGTGCCAAACTCAAAAGGACTGGAATGGGGGAAATACTTTGATTGGATGGAGGGGTTGGGGGGAGGATGAGGGAGCCAAGGGTTAACTTCTGAAAAGCAAGGTGCTGGGGTTCAAGCCTTCCTGTAAGCTTGGAAGTCTTACTCCTTAATCCTAGATATGTTGGGGCTTGTTCAGGTTGCTCTGCAGTGAAGGAAATACACTGAGAAAGTTCAGAGGCAAACACTTTTTATTTCTTCCACATAATGATCTGGTATCAAATTCAGGTGGAACTGCATTTTTGGGTTTGTTTCTTTTTAAGCGAGTCTGGTATCTGTATGTGGTGGGTGGTGAAGTTGGCCTTCTAATCCATTTGAGTTTGACATTCCTCTTTATTGTTTCCTTTGTGAGTGAAATTGCTTCATCGAGAAGCTGAGTATAATCCAATCAGTCTCATTTCCATCACTTCACTATTTAGCACCAAGAGGAGTCACTATAATTTTAAATGGCTTCTTCTTACATCTGGGACCCTACCTGCTCTAGGAAATATCAGCAAACCTTATATGAATCTGACCACTATAAATATTTCCCAAAAACCCAGTGAGTGATGCAAATCCCGCCCCCCAACTGGTTGACAGATCAATTTGTGAACATTTTGGCATTGACTTTTCTTTTGCTTGGAGATCACTTGTCTCAAATAGGGCTGCCATATGTCCAGATTTTCCCAGGCATATCCAGAATACCGCAGTTGGCAGCAGCGTCCAGGTGGAAATCGGGAAAATCAGGACGTATGGCATCCCACGTTGCTGCTTTTCCATTAAAATAGTGATTTTGCCCAAGAAGCTCAGCAACTTTGGGCCAACACCCCCCACCCCCCGAAACGCAACAACTTTTCTGTCTGGATTTTCAATGTTTGAAATACGGCAACCCTAGTCTCAAACTGATAATGTAAGGCACTGAATATTTTTAATTATACTTGGATTATATCTCAAGATGCTGCCATCAACTAACTGTTTTTTTAAAAAGCATACGCTGCACTGTAATGCAGCCTCCTTGCTTCACCTTGCAGTCCCAGTGTGGCACTGCTGATTGCAAACCCAAGACACAAAGGTCCAAACCTGGCATCTCCAGGTGCAGAAGGAAAAGAATCCTGCCTGAAACCCTGACTGTGTAAGGCAGCTTCCTATGTTCATAGAGACCTGTCTGACTAGTCCACGTAGAAAAATTACAAGCAACATTCAGCAACAATGATATGCGTGCTTCTTAGCCCCACAACCACAGGCCCACTCCGATTCTCTACCAGCAAAGCTGTACTGCACAAAATGATACAAGGCAGCCTGGCTATGCTTGGAAGCAGTAGTTTACTGCTAAACTGTAAAGTGTGATGGGAGGGGGGCTCTGGCTTCAGTTAAAATGAGGACAGCCTATCCTGAATTATGCTGGTTTTAGCCTTCTGCCCCCCTGCAAGAGTAACACAGACAATCCTACAGCTGCTGGCACATCCTTCAGCAGCCTACCAGAGTAGAAAGAGAACAAGTCAGCATTCGGTTAAAGGAAAGAACTGACAAGCCAGCTGGTTAACAGGGTTGGTAACCTCTCTCAGCAGGGAAGGAGGGAAAATTTCACCAGGGGCAGCATCTTTGTTCCATTCATGGCTGAGCTTGTGCTGTGAGCTACAAAGCCCCCCTCCCAGTCAAATCAGCACAAGCAAAGTGGATTAGACTGAGCCCTGGCACCAGGAAAAATGCGATGGGCAAAAGGATTGGGATTGGTAACTGGGGGCAAGTGGATGAAGCAAGCAGCAGGTGCCCCATAAGCAGCTCTGCAAGCCTGCTGTGCTCTAGCAATGTACCCCCTGAAGGGGAGAACAAAATAAAATGAGTCACAGCTTTCACATTGAGCTTGCTGCTGCCTGGGCCCCCGATGACACCAGTTTCCGACATGGTGTGGCGTGTGTCCAGCTCCTTGCTAAAAATATCTCAGGCATGCACCATTGGGAGTATATGAGCAGAAGAGGGCAGGGGTCCCCAGGCTGCCATCGGCTCACGGCCCTTACTGTGCAATTAAAATAAGCAGCAGACTTGGTGTTTGTAAACTCTTCTTTTAAACTCTTGTTTAGAGAAGAGAAGGCCAAGTCAGCCAGGAGTCATCTTTCTTGGAAATTTAAAAAACAACAGGGGAAAAAAACCTTCATGCATGGCCAATTTACACAGCTCAAGCCTTCTGGGAAATAGCTGGACAATAAGCTGAGCAATGAGCAGAGCTAGGATACGGCCTATTTAAGCCAGGAACACCTGTGGTGCTGGAAAGACGTCTCCAGAGAAAGGACTGCATCAATAAAGAATAGAAAACAGAATCCACCAAATCCTTACCTACTACCCTGTAGGAGTTTGGTTGCCATTGCCTTCTCAGCCTCCATTCTTACAGGGCTTTTAAATGCGGTGTTGAGGATAGATGCATATCCTTTTAGTGCGGGGCCAAGGCTCTGTTCTTCACTGTGCTGTTAACCAGCCACCAGGTGGCATTGCAGCACTTCAGGCAGCTGAGAAACTGGCAAGGGTCACAATCAGGGAGGAGGCACAAACCTCTTGTATTTCCTCCGCAACGTTACAAGTTACGCATTTATAAACATGTTATTTGAGGGCTCTTAACTGCACCTAAATGTTGTAACGTGGATGCAGCGCCACACACACAAACCAAGAAATCTTGCTCACTGTGAAATTCCCAGACATGTAGCAAAACCTTTTAAGTTCTTTAGGAATTATTGCTTGGACCGACAATATCTGATTGCAATTGCCCAGAGGTCTGACTGCAAGACAATCTCTCCCCACAAATGCTAGGAGTTGCTTTCTTACTCACAACAGTAACAGAGGAAAATTCAATAAATTCACTGAGAGTTCCCCTCGTTCACCTTCCCATCCTCTCCAGATGTCCACAGGCCCTGAACAAATATGTTTGATATGGTCCTTCATTCTTTGAAAGTATCTAAGCCTAGACCAGGTCATTCTAGTTTCAACCCCTCTCTGGAGCAAAGTTTGTCATTATTATTATTATTAAAATCTTACTTTTGAAGTGGGGCTAGAAGGCTTATGGGGTTTACCTGTTACATCTGAGTTTAATATTGAAGATTTACGAGGTTTAATCTCTGCTTTTTGTGAAGGGTGTGACCCATCCAGTCACTTTCTTCCTTCGCAAGATTTAATTCATTTCCCCCTCTATCCAGTTTTATGGCCACCCTGGCAGGGCACATATCCGCACAACTTTCCTTTATCACAAAGATACCCATGCACTACATATGGATGCAGTTACACCCAGGATTCACCATGAACGAACTGCCACCCCAGAAAACTCCCCCAAAGCTCAGAAATATGGTTTCACCATATTAATGTTTGGAAGACTAGCTATTAGAACAGCATATGTTTCCTCTCCCTCTTCAGCTCTATCCTCAGGAGTTTTGGGTTTCTATGTGGAATACTTTTTTTAAAAAAAAGGTCTTTTGAAAACATTTTTTTTTATTTTTCCACGTACTGCTGCCAAAGTGCCTTTCAACAAAGAGGATGACTAACCAGAGTCTCCATGAAAGAAGGATTTTTCCAAGGATGGCTGAAGGTGGCAGAACGGTGATATCACTTTTTGGGATAGGAACCCCCAGACTCACTCCTCACCCCTGCTCCTTCCCCGAAAATAAATAAAAATGACAATTGATTGGTGGGAAGGCAGTGAGAATTGCTAGGTTCCTACTCGTGATTCGTGAGTCAAAGGGGAGTCCTGTTTGGCTGGTTCTGTTAAGTACCAAATAGGGCCTCAAATGATTTATTATTTATTTTTCATCCATTTGCTTAGTGACCCTAATGGGCCATAACCAGAGGCATCACTGTTGACCAAGCACCTTGGAAAAAGAAGTCTACAATATTTTACAAATGCATGGAAGTGAACTAGATCAAAGTGACTGCCTGCCTGAGATGCTGACATTCCATCTGCTGTCTGGGGATGAAGGGGGGGGTGCATGTGTGTCCAGGCAGCAGAGGAGGAGGAGTGGTGTGAACAATGCATAAGAATTAAGAGATTAAACAGCCCAGGAAACTGAAACCATCTCTTGCCTTTCCCAGTCCAGGTGTGGTGCTGCACAAGCACACTATGGTGCAAGGGTAGTTTATTCCCTTTGGATGCAAACTCGTCTGATCAGAAGGCGATGGTTACCTGGGAGTGTAAAGGTGTCTCCATGCCCCACCAGATTCGGCCCAAACTTAGTGCTGTTGCTTTACCTTCTCCACATGCCTATTTATGCATTCACCCACATCTCCCTCAAGCCCAGACATCAGACGTGCCCAGTATGAGAAATGAGTACAATCTAGGGATGAGCAAATCTCTCTCCCCCGCCAACATCCCCCCCATTCAATTTCATTATTATGCTGTGGTTTGGCTCCGCCCAGCATTTCATTCTGTCTGCCTTCCGGTTTAACTTGAAGAATTTCTGGGATTAATTTGGTGCATGTGCTGTATGCTGCAGTTTTCAGTTTGTATTTCTTCCCCTTGACCCTTTTTTTACAAGTTAGCACCGGGCATGAGTGCATATGTACACTGATTAAAACACAGCACAAAAGAGAATATTTTTAGATAGTGAGCTTGTATAGTGCCCATTGTAGTTAAGGCACTCTTAAAATGCAATTGGGACATAATGGTTATGAATAAAACAACAAGATAAAAGCAGTTATGGGAGGGAGGGAGGGATTCAGTGAAGATTTTTAGGAGGAAATTGTTAACATTTTTGCACTTTGAAAGGAAGGAAGCAAATAAGTAGCCACCTCTTTACATAGCCCATGAAGCAGTGGCTTCAGCACTGGTGTCTCATGGCAAACCCTGCCTTTTAGTATTCTGTGGCTATGCAATGAGCTACTTATAAACGTCCCAGAATCTCACAGACTCTCCAAGTCTACCAGCTCATTTCCCCCCTAGCCTTCCTGTTGAAGTTAAGCAAAGTCATTAATTAATTCAACTTAGAGGCAAACCAAAGCAATTTTGGTTTGAGCCAAAATAAAGGTGGTTGAAATTAAGTACCCTCTGGCATTATTCAGTTCCAAATATTTGAACAGAATTAAATTTGCTTATGAATCTTTTTTTAAAAGGCATAAATAATAGTAAGAGACAGGATTTTTCTTTGTTTTGTATTTTTAAAGACACACTCCCCCCTTTGAGCCAGCAAATTAAAATGATGATAAAAGCTCTATAGAAGCTAGTTGTCCAGATGATAGCACCCCAATTTAGCTCACAAGGGAAGTAACCATGTTCAATCTAATTAGGACCTGTTAGGATATTCAGAACTGCTATCATTCCATAAAGTTGAAGAAAACAGTCTCCTAATTGGCTTCCTGCTGGGAAGTCCCGAAAAAGCCTTTATTGTCCCTCTGTGTAACCCACTCTGCACTTTCTTTGCAGCTGGACTGTTTTGAACACTGTGCTGCCCTCACCTAAAGGCATGGCTGCAAGAAACTTTCATGCTACTAGTACGTGAATGTTACTTGGCGTATCAGGAGTTTTTCTCACAATCGTGTGTGCAAGGTCTCACATGCCTATTTGAATATCATTTGATTTTGAAGCACTCCTATCTGCAATCTGTTCTAAAACTGGGGGGGGGGGGCTTGAAACATCTAAATACCTGCATTTAAATTTTCCTCCTGTCCATAGGTGGGACCCAAAAACTGAGATGCAATGGGGTATAGTGCATGCAGTCTCAAAAGAATGGATTCTAGAAGAGCCAAAAGAGCAATTGCACCTGGGCTTAGATTGTGAGTTGAGAACACAACACCTTAGCCTTAGGCATTAATTTAAGTGAACAGGCTCCTGGCACCTCCCAGCCCCCGTTTTACTCAGCTTCAAAAAGAAACTGAGATGACATTTCCTATTTTATGAAACATTGCCTTTTACTTTCCTAGGGAGAGTAAGGTTATGTAACAGCAGAGGCAACTTAACAAAACAGAAAGTAACATCACACCTCAGTGCAAGAGAGGACAGAGAAGGTGGAAAATACAGAAGTACAAGATGGCTCCAAGCTAGATCAGAACTGAGTACTGAGGGGAGGCAGGACTGGCATCAGAGATGGAATTATTTGGGCACCTTCAGGGACACTGCAGTTCCCCCAGGGTTCTTGATCATGCTCTGCTGCTGCTGCTGCTGCTGCTGCTGCTGCTCAGTGCTGTCACTGCCCCTTCACCTGCCCTCTCTGAGTATGCAAGCAGTAACAAGGGGAGGAGGAGATGTAGGAATATCCAGCCTTGTGCTTTCCCTCTGGGTGGTTTTGTAGGTTGGGTCCAGAGAGGGGGAGAGTATGTGAATGAGCAGTGGAGATGGAAGGAAGGGTGATGTGGGATCTCTCAGGGAGTAGGCCTACTGAAGGCATCTCCTCTCCCCCCTGCTCCAAAAAAAGAGAGAAAAAACTAGAGCTGGCATTGAGATGTGTGCTGTGCTAGATATAGCCTCCCAACTCATGTTTGCTCATAGCCATGTGACTCTTCTTTGTAGCCCTGGTTATGAATATTTATTGTGGAAGAAAGGGAGGAGGGGCTTTCTCATTTAGGCTTCAGAACACATTTGCCTTTTTGTAAAAAGCAAGTCGAAACAACAAGCTTTTGCATTTGACCCTCTCAATGGGGGACTGGCAAAGAAGCTAACAACAGTACTTTTTCACTAAATGTCACATACATGCACAGTCTGCACACTGTCCTTCCATGGGAAAAGGATGTGATAAATTATTCAGGGTTTATCTCTGCAAATGCAAGTTGGAATTTTGTTTTGCTGGAGTGGGCAGGTGGCCATGCATATGGTGAAGTGGGAGGAGATTTTGTGTACAAGGAGAGGGCCGTTTTGTTACTTGCCTGTTATTTGGTGCAATCTTGCTCCCATGAATTTGCAATAAGCTGCCTAGATACAAAGCAAAATCCCAACACGTCCCCTGAACAGAACAAACTGAGTTACTGCCAGGAATTCCCTTGTGGCAAGAAGAAGTTGCGAAGGCATGCTACCTCGAATTTAGTTCAGCATTTGCAATCACATCCAAAGTGTGCCTTAAGTTTCAAATGAGCAGAATGTGCTGCTGCTGGAAATTCTGATTCAGTGAGGAAACCGGGGGGGGGGGGGGGAGAGGCAGAGGAATCTTTTCCAGAGACCTCCAGCGATCAGCAAAGTTCATCATGTGCATACATGACCGATAGGCATACCAGCAGTTTAAAGGCTACATTTTCAAGTTCTGCTAGAATATAAACAGACCATGGCCAGGACTAGCCTGAGAATGAGATTAGGCTGAGAAAGGGATTGATTTCGTTACCAGTAAAACCAATAGTAAGGGAGCTAGAAGAAAGAAGGGTGATATGCACAAGCCTGAGCAGGACATTCCCAATCTGGGGAGAAAGAAATGATGCTCAGGAGCAAACCTTAAGTGCTTCTGCCCCCAAGCATCTGCAGATGCATACATAGTGTTAATGATAACAATTATTTTGAACTTCAGACTTCTCAGATATGCCCAATGGTATAATAGACTCAAGTTGTATAGATTTTTGTACCACTATTTAAGCAAAGAAGGTACCGTCAGCAATAATCTGGATAAATACTCAGAGGTTAACCATTGCCTATTTTTTTCAAGGGAGGGAACTGGTGTATAAAATTCTAACCTAGGCTGCATATGCACCATTCATTCAAAGCACACACACCCTTCCCCCCAAAAAAGAATCCTAGGAATGGTAGTTTTTTAAGGGTGTTAGGAACTACAGTTCTTTGAGGGGCAAATATAATTTCCAGGATTCTTGAATCCAGGAATTTAGGGTGTCTAGCACCCACAAACTCTTAACACTGTCAAATACCTCCTGATCACTTCTACAGTGTTCTTAAACAGTAAGCACAGTTAAACACACCATACTCTTACGAGTAAGTTGGGCATGCCTCAGGTACAGAATAGCCTATTAGTTCCCATTGATGTCCTTTTAGTTCCAGTTCTATGGTTTTATGCACAGTTGTACATATTTTAACATGAATGGTCGTCAAATGCAAACTAGTTAGGTTTCTCATCTGTGACCATCTCTGTGTCCTCAGATGAAGCAAAGGATAATTGATGGCATATTACGTGATTGCTGACTTTCGCTGGAAAACCATTGACAAATCACATCAGAAAGGAATGAATAATAATAATAATAATAATAATAATAATAATAATAATAATAAACCATCAAGCAGCTTTTGCAAATTGGCAAACAAGGAAGTTTCTCTTCCTTCTCCCACTTTTCCTGCTTCTCTCGCACTTTTGCTTTTCGCTCTGAACAGAATACACTGCCAAAAATACAAGGCCTGCTGCTTTCTGCTGGGACTGGCTTCACTCTGGATTGAAGTTCCTAAGTGGAACTGACCACAAAGGAGTTTGCATTCCATGCTGATTCAGACAGTCCCTGCTGCCAAACACTTGTGCACTCCCAATTTTTCCTTGGCAGTCATGGCTTTGCTAGTCCTGCACCTGATGTCATATGCTATCGTGTGAGTGGCAGGTGGGTGTGGCCAGCCAAAGCAGCCATGTTTGGCTGGACTGATGGGCCTAATTTGGCCTACAGCATGAAGGTCTCTCTCCCTTCCCACACATACACAAAATATTAGATAAAAACCACCAACCAAATTGCCAGTGAGGCATTTACCATCATGTAGTTAGACTGTCAGTGAGTGACAAGACTGAGTGGTCATTTGAAGCTCTCTGAGCAAAACCAAACTGTCTACCTGCCACACCGCTCCCACACCTTCCCAGTATTTATGTCCCTCTGCTGCACCCTTTTGGCAGGGGCTTTGCAGGACTCCAGAAACAAAGTGTCCCAAATCCTGATTACCACAAATGCAGGCCCAGGCCCATCAATTCTAGAGAGGAATCCAATGGCATTTCAGAAAATAAATTGAACTTAAATTGAAATTTCTGACATAAACAGAGGCAGACGCACACTAACTCTAGGGTGCCCTCGGGGAGGAGGGACGGTAGCTCACCATAGTCCTTCTTGCAATACTTCTTCATGTTGATCTTCAGTTTCCCTTTGGATGCCTTGCAGTATGAATCACAGTCTTCAGGGGAGCCGAGGAGGAAGAGACAGAAGAAAACATTAACAAAACAAATTAGTCTTAAAATGAATGAAAGACTTGGGAAAAGAAGGGAGTGTGTGTGTGAGGGGAGAAGCGAACAGTGAAAGCTGTAGCCTGCTATGAATAAGCAGCATGCCTGTGATATCCATCTGCCAGGACCTGATTGGGTCATCTAATGGGGGCATTCACTGAAAACCTTCCTTTCTAAAGAAAGTAACTCACAAAAGAAGCTATCCTCCTCTCCCTTTCCCTCCCCTCCTATCCCCGCCTGACAAATTCTTTAAGCTGTCCTCTGCAGGCTGCCACAACTTGGTTGCCTCCATGGGAGACCCCAGGGCCTCGCTTATTGTGCCACCCAGATCTTTAGAGAGCCACAGCCCCCCCCCCCCAGTTCTTAAACTGCAAACTGGAGTCTGATTAAAGCCCACAGAGGCCTCTTTGTCACCCCCTAACCCAGACCTGTGTCAGGCTTTGGCATTCATTGCAAAGGGATTCTGGCTGGGGTCACTCCTCAACAAAAGGGGTCAGGGAGGAAATTAGCAGCCTATGAAGCATTAGCAAAGCCTTTGGCGTCCACTCTACTGGAGTGTGCAAATAAAATGCCCCAGTGGGACTGCTTCATTTCTATGGGCCTTACTGCTGTGATACGATGGATTTACTCCTCCTGAACATCATCCTGTGTTCCAGTGCCACTAATGTAATGCTGTGTTGAGCTTTTGGCACTGCCTCCATCCTGCTTTGGCTGTGCTAGAACTATTTTCATGCCACTTTTGAGCACTGGGAGTGCAGCTTGACCCTGAGCATGAAAAACTGTTATTTGCTGTGGCATTTCTCTCTCTCTCCAGTCTCTGGCAAGGCTGGGCTGCACATAGCTCAGCCTGCACTATGTTTCCCAGGTATGCCAGAGTATAGTGTTTCTACAGCAGTGTTCCTGCTTATCCAATTGGTGCACAGATGGGTCAGGAATTATACTTTGCTGTTAGGAAAACATATGATGATGGACAACTTGCTTTTCTGCAGTGATTGATAAATGTTATGGTTCATTTATGTTCATGTCCTGCTCTGACTTTAGAATGCTCAAATCAGCTAACATAGGTCTCCTGCCTATGACTTTATCATATTCACCTCTTGCTTGTCTGCAAGCAGTATGCTCAAGAACGAGAGGCCCTATGGCCATATAGGGGACTATACAATGGAAATAAGCAACCACAGTAATATTATTTACTGATATCCCTCCTTCCTAGCCAGAACAGCATCCTTTAAGGTTATAAATCCATATAGTATAATTACCTACCTGTGTTGCAAACAGGATGTACTGATAAAGGTAATAAAAATACTTAGAATGTTTCGTATTTATACTCATGAACAGTGAAGGAAGGGAAAAGTCCAGCCCCACCACATTCACACCTACAAACTCCCTCTGCCCTTCTTTTCCACCACTGCCTAATGCAGAGCTTTGCCTGCTGATTAAAATATAGTTCAGTACAAATACAGTTCAACAGCTCTAATTATTGCCTAAGATAAGAGTGTATCCCTTGTGGAAAGACATTGGCCACATCAGGATTAGAAGGACCAGAAATGGAGAAGGAAGGCACCCCCATACGGACAGTTAAAGCCATCTGTCCATTGCTATAAAGCAAACATAATGAAGGGTTGGATGCTTCTTTCAGCCTAATGCTCCTTGTTGTTCCTGGTCCATCTTTTACCATACAGTGAATTGTTCTGGGCCCATCTCACACTAATATATTTGTCCTTGAACTATTTACTATGGAATAGTTCTGTGGATCTACTGACAATATTTTTTTTTTAAAAGACTCATCTCACCTAACCTCAGTTAGTTTACCACTATCAAAGGCTGCAATTCAGTTACATTAAATGGGGGTCTTGCCATTGTCTTCTGTAAGAGTAGGGCTGCATTATTATAGTCATTTTCCAAGTCCTGGCGGAAAAGTTGAATTCTCTATCCCAAGTCAATGAGCAAAAGCTTGAATGTGTGTTACCAGGTTGGCTAGAGCCCTCATCCACTGTGTTGAACACTGTTCTGACGGCTTCCAATTACTGATCCATCAACAGAAGCTGAGAGCATGCTTGCAAGCAGCAACAAAGAAAAGTAAGACAGACATTTTCAACCAAGAGATGATAAAAGCAATTTGGGGTCAGCTTGGGGTTGAAACAAAGGGACTTGTATAATATATCAAGATGTATAATTGAATAATAAGTCAAGCTTTCGTTTAAGTTCTAAATGGAATTGTGGTTCAAATTCATGTTTCTGTGCAGTCCTTTTTGTTTACTTCTACCTTTCCCCAATACCCAAAAATATGCACTTTCTGAAGGAAATTTTGTTTCTTATTTTTTCTATGTTTTGCCCTCTGCATGCCATTTCCTTTGTTGTGACAATAAAAGTACATTGTCTCAATTGAGTTGATAAATCACTCATATTTCTGGCTGATCCCCTAGGAACCAAGGCAAGGCTCAGAGTGTTGCATACAATACTGAGGTGGTGAGTGATCTCCCAGGCTTTAGGCCTTGGACTGCTGCTTGAGAAAATGAAATGTACACTGGCAACACCCCAACGGAACCTTATTTCTGCATGGAACTTCTGGCGTTATTGCTTCTAACTGTTTAGCATCACTGGTCTCAAGCTGAGCAATACCCTTCCAACAGAGATTCAGCATATACCCTTGCTTTTGACTTTCAGGCATCTCTTGAAGACTTGTTTAAGATTTCACTGATGGCAATTTCACTTGCCATCCCGATGTAACGCTTGAGAAGGGTGGAAGAGTACAACTCCAAATACTTTTCACTAGTAGTCCTGCTTGCCTCAAACTACACATAGCCCCTTCACAATTGACACAGAAACTATCTAGCAACAACAGAGAGCATTTAGGTTATCTATTAAGGACAGTGTTGCTAACGTGCTGCATTATGGCAATGTATGTCCACGAAACTGTCTGCAACAGCAGTTAATATCAGCCAAAAATGTATAAATAATCACAGGAAAATTGAAAAGTGAATTATTCACTTGTTGCACTTTCAACTTCTGACTCTGAGCAGAGCTCAGCATCTATGCACAGAACCAAAACAGGACTACAGATGTGCTGTGGTAGATGATGCTTTTATCCCCCATTTCCTTCACTGTAACACAAGGCATGTACAGCATATTCACTCTCCTGCATCTTGATTCTCTCTCTGTTTGGACCAAGCACTCTTCTGGGGGGGGGGGATATGTGAGAGAAGCTTTGTGGAGTGTGTCTACTGCCCTGACCAAGGCCAAAGTACCGGGGCTCAGCAAGTGGAATCCCACTTGTGCAGTTTGTAAGAAGAGCAAGGCTCTCCAGGAGCTGGGGTACCACAGGGGAACACAACACACATAAACTTCCCCAGATTGGAGAAAATGTTAATCTTATTTAAACAAACAAACAAACAACCTTGGCAAGCTGCCACCTCAAACCCAGCAATCTCATGCCCAGTCAAAACAAAACAGATTTGAGAAATGGTATCTTTAACATATATATAATTTTAAAATCCTTAAAGCAGGATGAAAAGGTGTGGTGGCTATTTTGTCTCATTTGCAGCTTCAGAACATGTCAGGAGCATTCCCCCCCCCTTCCTATCTGTTAGCTTAGTTATTTTCTGAACGATTCCTTCACAAATCAGTTTTAGTGCTTCTTGTATTTGCACAGTGTGGACATCATTAAAAACCCGTCATTAGGGTTTCCATGTGCTGGGCAGCAACTGACACACAGCCTTGCCTGAAAAACCTCCCTGCCCTGATCCTTCTATGATCTACTAATCCTTGAACAAGGAATTCCCAGCATGCTGCTGTCTGTGCTCACAGGATGGTGTTCATGTGGAGATGGAGATCATAGGATAATCAGAATGCCTGGCACTAAAACCGCACAGCACTAAACACTTCTTGAGCAGCGGTGCTAGAGCTATTTGGAGCCTATGACAAAGTGCACTTCTTGTGTCAGCTGGGATGCATCATCCCAGATGGAATGCCAGATGCTTGAGAGACAAAGTGGACATGTTTGCAGTACATGATATTCTGGTTGTATTTTGTGGGAGATTGGTTCATATTGTTCACAGCACATCTGTTTTATTCCTTCTTCTGCTTCATGTTTTATTTCCCTATGTATTCACATTTCTTGGGATTCATTTCTCATGGCTGCTCACCAGTTGCCCACTCAGAATGGTCATCATCAATATCATCATCTTGATTTCTCAGAACTATTCAGCACTGTTGCACTTGTGTCTGATTCAGGAACAGAACGTATCTCACAGAGAAACAAACTGGGATGGGGAGAACACAGAGACATGATGTCTCCGGGTCGTGTGGCAACTATTATGGCTTTCCCATTATGAGCTCCAACATAAAATTTGCCATACAGTTTTAAGCAGGATAACATGCTTAGGTGAGACAGAACACTACAGATAATCTCCAAGTCACATGAAAGTTACCTGTGAAGCAGACTTCAGAGCTGATCTTTTGGAGGAGTTGGCTCTGTTTCTACAGCTGGATGACTCAAACACCCTAAATAAGAACACTGCTTAAACATTTTCCATGCCTGTAAAATTCCTTGTTCTCTTGTGCTACTACGTCACACCCAGTGTGTAGGAGCAGGCAGCACCTGTCTCCTGAGAAGATCGAACAGCTAAAGATGACAAGAAAACTACCAGTGGGTACCATGCGGACACTTCATTAAAAAGGGATCAATGCATTTGCTTGGGTAGCTACTAAGCTCTATACAGTACAACACACATAGTGAAAATATGGGCCAACGAGTCAACAGACAGCATAATTTCAAGTTAATCCAGTCTCTGTGGAACTGCATGCTCCAGCTGCTTTGAGTTCCAGCTGCAAAGCCAGGTCTCCAAACCCCTTTATAAGAAGCTGCTTGACCCCAAATCCTGCAGCAGGCCACAATTTCAGCATGAGGTATAGAATGTAAGAGAAGGAGAAATGGTGTCATTGAACAATG